TAAACAAACACAATTAATCTCACACGCATTAAAAGAACATAAGGAGTGATAGTGACATGAACAGCTGATCTCGAAAGTGAATCCACCAGTGATTAAGTTATAGAAAGAAATACCTCCAAATATGTGAAGCTCTTTGGAAAGTTGATTCACTAACGTTAGCCGATACTTAATATATGAAGTTCTTCGCTCGGGCGAATAAAAACTGTAGACGACATGCACAATCAAGCCCCCAGGATTTTTTGGATTGCGAAAGGCTTCAAGGTTGCTGCCAATAAACACAAGGTTAATAAAGCATTACATATATAAATGAACAAAAGAGTGGGATCAAGTGTTACGTTTACCAGTCGTATAGGCAGTATTGCCAATATCATAAATATCAGAATAACATGTTTTAGATTTCAAAGAGGAAAAATTCTCTATCACCCAAGTAAACTTCGTTCCACCTAGCTTGGTCATTGGTCTAGAGACATTCCTCGCAATAAAACAGAAAGAGCATGAGGATATTATACCATTAGAATTACTGTCATTAAACAGAGACAATCAAACAAAATCTATAGGATAAGTTTGACTAAGATTTAACTGTAGACTTTCGACATTCTAAAATGAGTTTACGAAAAGGATTACCCTTCTCAGTAGCCGTATTTGGAAAGCACAAACACTGCAGCAATACTTAAAGAACACAGTTACGTTCTTTTTTAACTTTAAATAAAAAAAAACCGGAATGCAAAACGTTTTTTATTTTGTCGAGAAGAAAATTATATCGCTCGTGCTCTTCATCTTTTGTTCCCAACAATACTTAAATTATACTAGATCCTTTTCCCGGGCTACGCCCGGGTTTTTGTGTTTGAGTGAAATCACTTTTACTTTTCTACACCTGGGGTTTTTTATAGGAGATAAATCATTTGCTGTGGTTTTATGTATTTTTAGAGAAAGTGTTGGTTTTATGTATTATAGTAGATTGTTACATTTGAAACTTTTACCTATAGATTAAATGGTTTAGATAGGTGGAGGGTGGAGGAGACACGAGCAATAATTTCTTTACGGAGTGGATTGTTTTATTCACTTGGCTCGTTCCATACATATAATGAGGCATTCTTAAGTTTAAAACCTAACATTTATCAAATCATGTCTTACGAATTTAGTTATAAGATCATACCAATAAGAACAATTCTTCTTATTAATTTCTCAAAAAAAAATTCGCTCAAAAATATTAAGTTTTCAAGCACACAAATTCATAAATTATGCTACAACTTACCATATCTTTATATAGCAACATAAAACTTCTAAACTCATTAGATATAACATAAATAGATATTTTGTAATCTTTTTGAATAACCATAACTTGGTTAGATTGAAAAACTTGCATCTCAAGTTATCTTCAAGCTTAATCCAAGGTGAACAACTGTGATATTGGATACAGCTGATACCATAATTACCAGTACAATTTTAAGCTAATAATCTGGTCCAGAAGTTCCATGCCCCATCAAATTATCCTTTCGTGATCTTAAGTTTTCATGTGCGAAAGTCACCAAATATCTATCCACGGACATGGAAAATGAGGAGTTGCTAACAGAGCATGATGCTGTAAAATATTTGAAACCAGAGCATGATGTTCCGGTCATCTAATATACCATGCTCTTATACATAGCATGTAACAACCCACAGTGATCATAGGTTATTGAATGATGAATCTAATAGTAACAGATAAAGAAACAGACTTGAGGCTGTGAAATCTATGTCCTATATTTGAAGTCTGGTTCAGTTATACACTTAGGGTGGAGAGTGAACAGAGCTCTATTGGAGGTTCAAAAGATACCCAGAAGCAAAAGTAGAAAGAGCTTTATAATCATATTGTACATGATGATCAGATTACATTGACTAAAGCATGTAAGACAACAAAGTTTTATCATTGTGAATTAAGGAGGAAAATAAATAGATTGCCAACTTTCAACAGCAGCACTACAAATGCAATCTAACAATGTTGTGGTCTCACCCGAATTCTATTTAGCTAGGATTTGCTAGAGTATAAATGTTCTATTAAGTGAGGGTTGTTCGTTACAGCTAATCACATATCAGCTTGAACTCGGGCATCACTGTTGGTTTATTCTATTACTCTAGGACTGGCCAAAGTGAAAGAAAATAAAGGAAGATAAGAAAGCTGGCTTTTATCACAATGTATATATATATATATATATAAGAAACTCGACCTGCTGTTTGGCATGCTTTTCAGGGCATTGGGGACGAACCGATGATACAATCTAATCACTCCTCACACTCAATTATACCTACACATCGCACTAGTCAGCCACTGGAAATTAGAAACTAAGCGTTCTGACCAAGAAAAGCCTAACAATTAAAACACAAAGTGTTGAATATGCGTCACAACATCTACACTCAGCTTAGCTCCAAAAATCCAGAGACCAACCTGCAGCAAGGAGACAAAAAAAGGAAGATCTTGCGTCAATTAAAACACCAACAACAGAACATTTTCACCCAAACCAACTTTAAACAGAAGCTACAATCTAATGAAACACAGTTATACAAATAGCTAAAAATTTCAACTTTTTTTAATTTTGAAACACTCCCTAAAAGTGATACCAAGTAGACTTGCATCTAAAGAGGGCTCATGAAGCAGAAGATCACAATTACAGTGAGAGAGAAAGTAGCAGCCATAATCAACTTGTTCTTAGGCATAGGTCCCATCTTATCACAATTACAGTGAGAGAGAAAGTAGAAGCTTGATATGCGTCATGTAGAGCAGGCAAATGTTTGATCTGAAGTTCTTCCTAAGCAGGACCACTCTCGCTAATAAACTAATTCAGAAGTTAACATCATTCACAGATAAAGTAGTCGTGTGTTTGCGTCTAAACATGTTTTCCGTCGTTGCTAAGTATCCAACACAAATCCAAATAACATGTGTGGCTAAATAACTCTCTTAAACGCAAAACAAAAAACAACATTTGCCTTGTTGTTAACGGGTCAGCTTCTTCGTAGGAGGAAACAGAGATACATCAGAATTTAGAAACGTTCTTGATCTGAGATCGTACTACACAACTGAAATATAAAAACTTAAATTTAAAAATACCAAATAAGTAACAATAAATAATGATTAAACTTGAGACTGACCTGGCATAAACACTGGAATTGAGGGACTGAGCAGTTCTTAGCTGACTCGCACATAACTGTAGACAAAGTGACAGACATATCATGAGGTTCCTAATAAGATCCTAGTTTGAAACTATGCTGCTTGATTATGCCGTTGGCCATTCACTCCAAAAAGGTATTTGCATATTAACCTACAGTAGAAATAAATTCTGGTTTTGTCTTTGCTTTATTGTAGCAAGAAACACAGTTTCATCCTAGTTTAAAGGCATACACAAATTATAAATAACAGAGTTCTATCCACAAAAAACATAATAAAAATTCTGAGAGTTGATAAGTTGGTTAAAGAAAAAGGTGAAGCATATTCATCTAAAATTGAAAAAGGAACAAAACATGTCAAGTTCCAACGAAGGTCCTGATGTTTACCTAACCATGTGGCAGAAGTTGGGATCACTGAACTATCCCCAGCCTCTTTGCCATCTACTCAGCGTCAAAGCTACAACAAAAATAACTACATCAAAGATAGAAGCTGCAGAAAAGCAAAATCCAAATCTAATTTTCTAAATCTAAGAGATTGATTATAAGATATAGCAAACCCGGAAACATTTTTACAATATGGATTGTCAAAAAAGTATTTAAGTTTTAGAAACGTTTGGATTTTGAGAAACAAATCTTTCATACCACTTAGATCATCTATTTGGATTTGTGCTTTTAATCTGTACCATGAAGAGAACTCGTATCAACAACGAATCACCGGAAAAGCCCTTGAGTTGCAAGAACTTTTCATGCGCTCTCTCCTCGTTCTCTATTCTTCGATTCAAATCTGGGTGGAGGCTCAGCCTATCTGGCGTCACCGTCGGTAAGTCTTGAGCTCTCCCACCCTTTTTTTCTTCTTACGTCAGCATCAGCTCTATCCTGACCGTTGAGTTTCAGTTTCGGAGATCCGGGAGGCACCTCCTCCCTCCTTGCGACCTATCGGTTTCGTCGCTTGGTGCGGCGACTTCTGGGTTCTGGCGCCTCATTAGAAGCCATGGTTGTCTCGACTGTGTGACGTTGAATAATTGCTATATGCAATTAATTAGCAGGGAGAGGAAAAGATCAATGGTAAAGAATAAAGATAATAAACTGGGAGAACGGAAGAAGAATTCGCTCATCCCATCGGAGGAAATTGAAGGGTGAGAAAGTGATGAGTTTCTCAAATACTCCGCGAGAACAAATGAAACCAAATAAACCAAACTCAAACCGGTACGCGGTAATAAAGCAAACCAGGTCCGAATTCGCGGTTTGATTTCTCAGAGACAAAACCAAAATGACATGGCTATTTTAAGCCATTTGATTGGGTAATTATTTATGCCCACGTGGACACTCCCAAATGCTTTCATTTGCAACTTTTAATTATAGTAGATTTGCTTAGGGAATATGAACTACGCAAGAGTACCTATTGATGCATGCAACTTAACTTAGGGAACAAGAACGAGAAACAGTAGCTATTGGTGCATGTTACTTAATAGTGCAAAGAGCAAACGTTTCATATACCACGTCATGATTAAATCTTATTTTGAATTTCTACAGAAACTGATACTTTATTATTCCACTCACACTTCTGCTTTTAAACCTTCTAATATGCTCTGTGTGAATTTACAAGGAAGGGAATAGACTATATAGATTGAACATATTAATAGTGTATGAAATAATAAAGAATCGACTTTACTTTCCATAATACGAAGAAGGCAAAAAGACTGGAGGAATTGCATGTGTAAAAGGATTCTCATTTGAAAACCTAGTAAGTGAAACTTCAAGTGCCTAAGAAATCTCCAAGATTAGTGTTTCAGACACAAAATGATTTACTTTCTCATCAAGAAATTTAGAGATACAAACGACATAAAGAACTAAAGTAATCAAACAACATCATCAAATGCCAGAGGAGTTCTTGTTGCCGACAACTCTTCCTCTTCCTTCTCAACCAGGGCATCCAAGTCTGAACATTGTTGCTTCAGTTCCAGTAAGGTATCCTCCATTTCATGTAGCCGAGCCAAACTGGACTGTTCTTTCTCCTTCTTTTCTTTAACTATGTCCAGCTTCTTCTCCATCCAATCCACCTTAAAACCAGCGTCTTTCAAGTATGTCAGTGCCACGTCAGCTTCCACGAGATCTTCATTGGATAGATCCTCAAGTGATTGGCACAACGTCTCGATTAAGCTGAGCAGGAAATCCATACATGCGTTCCTCAGATGTTGGTTCTTTGCTCGGAACTCTACTGCAATGTCTGGATGTCTTTTAAAGATATGTCTTACAGATTCTACCTGTGAATGGAGCAAAGATGCATATAGCATCAGACCAACAACATACCCCTGTTCAATAGCTTTCCTATTAAACGATACTAATACAATACAAATGATCATCATGTGTATTGTAGACTAACAAGCAGTTTGCACCATTTACAAGTTCCAAACCTGTGAAGGAAGAACTTGAAAGCCACTGACATCTGTGCTTTCCATTTCCAATTCCTTTGATATGTCCGAGTATCTTTTGGTAGTAGAAACATAACACAGCGACAGGGAAAAAAGGATTTAAGCACATGAAACTCAAATGAACAAAGACAATCGAGGAAAACTGAATAAAAATGAGTTAGAATGATACATATAATATAACCAGGAGGAGAGACTCTTTATCACCCAAATGAGCTTCTTAGTAACTTGATTTGCCATGAAGATTCCTCACAGTTGAAACTACAAGAGCAAGACAAGAACCATTAGAACCGAACTCAAATGGATCTAATCTATAAAGATTACCCTACAAAGTCACTAATAGAGAGGACAAACACTGCAGCAAATGCTAACATACAAGTTTGTATTTTCAAGTTTGAAGAGAAAAACAGAAGTGCAAAACAATTTAATACGCCGGGGAGGAAAGCAAATGGTTTTAAATCATCATTGTTGCAATGGTTCCCTAGAAGAAGTTAATTACTTCGCTTAGGGAACATAAACTGAGATTGATTCAGCGTTGGTAGCGCATGCGAAGTAAATACATACCATCACGATAATTAATCATGTATGATGACGTAAGAAAATCGTATGAGGATATATATGAGAAGCGACATACTGTATAATTAAATGATAAATTAGTACATCATGAAGAATATTCAAAAGAGAGCTTCCATCTACCTTGAATTAACAAGTGCATACGTTAGCAACAAGACACACCCAGTGGCGGAGGCAGTAAGCAATGAGGGGGGTCAATTGACCCATGTCAAATTTTACAAACAAAAAATTTTACTTGTATTTTCATAGAAAAATCTGATGAATTGCTTATTGACCCATACAAAATACATGGTTTGTTATCATATTGACCCCTCTAAACTAAATGTCTGCCTCCGCCACTGGACACACCTCCATCATAAACAGCTTCTATGCGTTGGAATGGGCAGTGAAACATCTCAGAGATGTTATAGGCGCTGAACCGGAGGATCATCAAGAAGGCGGTCTACTTACGTTAGTTCATGTTCATGTGGAACCGGTGTAAAGAAGAAGTGCTTCTCTTTTTATTTCATTACTTATGAATCATGAAGAACACAAGTTGAGATGCACTCAAATGCAGGTGCATGAAGAAGCGAATACAGAGATAAAATTCAAATTTAATAATTAAACCAACTGAGTGCATACAGAGGAAAAAACAGAGAACAAAGAGGAGGATGTAACTACAGAAGAGTTCCCACTTATTAAGAAAAAAGACATGATCAGAGACAAGATAGTCTCTAGTTTTGGAAATAAAGGGACAAACTAACACATAACATCAGAGCTTAAATTAAACAACATCATCGAATGACAGAGGAGTTCTGGTGGCTGACAACTCTTTCTTCTGCTCCTCGGCTAGAGCCTCCAGCTGTGCACACTTTTGCTTCTGTTCCAGTAAATTTTCTTCTGTTTCTTGGAGCATGGCCAAACCGGAAATCTCTTTCTCCTTCTTGCTAATTACTTGAAACAGATTCTTCTCCAACCAATCAACCTTAAATCCTGCATTCTGTAAATATGTCAGTGCAATGTCTGCTTCGACAAGATCTTCATCAGACAGTTCTTGAAGTGATTGACACATTGTCTCAATTAAGCTGAGAAGGAAATTCATGCATGTGGTCCTTAGACGTTGGTTCTTTGCATGAAACCCATCTGCAATGTCAGGGTGCTTTTCAAATATACGCCTCACAAATTCTACCTGCGAGTGGAGGAGACAGACATGAAAAATGTATGTGAGGTACCATTCTTTGGTGATCAAGAAAACAAAAGCATTATAATTAAACTCATAAAATACATATGATTATGAAAGTAATAAACTTCTTACTTGTGAAGGAAAAACTTGAAACCCATTAACATCAATGCTTTCCATTATTGTTGAATCTTCCTTCAACAAAACAATAGAAGCTGCGCCATCATTTTCCTTTATCTTTCTCAGTGGCTTGTTTGTCTTCTCGGTTTCCACTTGTATATCTGATTTGTTACTAACTTCAAGAACCTCAATCACCGCAACAATCTTGATTTCATCATTTACTAGGAATCCGCCATCTTTGTCATGAAACTGTGGAAAGCAAAACACAGATGCAGAAGCATGCTCCATTGCAAATGGATCAAACCATTGCGTTCCTTCTGTATCATTTCACTCAATGGTTAATAAACATCGAATAAATTATCTGCTGAAATATAAGACAGGTAAATAACACTGACCTACACAAAATAAGTACATGGAATGCAGTGGAATATCTAGCAATTCATTTCTTGGATATGATACTAACAAGGACCATTTGATTTTTGATATAAGAAATACCTCCAAATATGGATAGCTCTTCCGACAGTTGATTCACTATAGTTAGGCTATACTTAACACATCTTCTTACTTCAGTATGCGAAGTTGGACAGTAGATAATATGCACAGACAAGCCCTCATGTTTAGCTGCATTGCGAGCAGCTGCAAGGCAGCTGCCAATAAACACAACAAATGAATCACATTAATATAAAGGAACAAAAGAGTGGGGAATAGTGTAATGTTTACCAGGTGTAGCCAGTAGTACCAATCTCATGAGTATCAGAACGATAAGTTTTAGGTTTCAGAGAGGAAAAATTCTTTATCACCCAAGTAAACTTTTTTCCAGCTAGCTTGGCCATTGTTCTGGTAACCTTCCTCGTAATAAAACAACAAGAACATGACGAGAATAAACCCTTAGAACTGAACTGAACACAGCCAATCAAACAAATCTATAGAATATAGTAGTTTAACTAATATTCAACTGTTTACTCAAGCCATTTCAACTACGTAAAACACTCTAACCAATTTAAAATGAGTTTACACACTCGATATATGAAAAAGTGTACAAGAGATCATCGACTACCTTTCAGAGTAGCGAATATGGAGAGCAAAGACACTGAAGCACTACTTAAAGAAAACAATTATGTTCTTGTTTTCAACTTTGAAGAGACTAAAAACAGGAAGGCAAAACGTTTTTATTACGTCATGAAGTATATCAAAATGTCCTGGCTTCTCATTGCTTATTCCCAATATTAGTTTTAGTTATATTGCTTTGGGAAAATGAACTGAGCAAGAGTAACTATTGGTGCATGCATGCTACTTAATAGCACAAAATGTTCCTATACCATGTGAGGATTAGCCATGTAATCTTTCTTGAATTAATATGTTCTTTATTTCCTAGAACATATTCCTCTCTTTATTTTTTATAAGAAATTATAATATATTTTTAATAGTGTTTGCACTTTGTAATATTAGAGAATCGACGTAACATTCCTTATTACGAAGAACGCAAAGGATTGGGGGAAATGTGAAGGAATTCTCATCCCAAAACCTAGTTAAGAATTCTCTACAAGATCTATGTTTCAACCTAGCACAAAGCGATTTACTTTCTCATCAAGAAACTCAGAGATGCTAGACCATAATGGCAAAAGACCCTTTTCACAAAATAACATTAAGTTTAATGATCTAACAAGAGAGTACCACTTTGAAACGTGAAGACAACAGAACACAAATGTTTAAGAAATCAAGTCATCAAACAACATCATCGAATGAGAGAGGAGTTCTTGTGTCCGACAACTCTGCCTCCTCCTTCTCCACTAGGGCATCAAGATCTGAACATTTTTTCCATAATTCCAGTAAACTATCCTCCATTTCTTGTAGCCTAGCCACACAAAACTGCTCTTTCTCCTTCTTTACTTTCACATGGTCCAACTTCTTCTCCAACCAGTCCACCTTAAAACCAGCGTCTTTCAAGTATGTCAGTGCAACATCTGCTTCCACAAGATCTTCATTGGAGAGCTCCTCGAGTGATTGGCACAGTGTCTCGATTAAGCTGAGCAGAAAATCCATGCATGCTTTCCTCAGATGTTGGTTCTTTGCACGGAACTCTACTGCAATGTCTGGATGTCTTTTAAAGATAAGTCTTACAGATTCTACCTGTGAATGGAGAGAGATGTATAAAGCATCAGAGATTCAGAACACAAAAGGTTACTAACACAAAACAAATGATCGTGCTTATTGTAGACTAACTTGTGAAGGAAGAACTTGAAAGCCACTGACATCCATGCTTTCCTTCTCAGATTTCTGTGATGCATTTGAGTATCTTTTGGTGGAGGAAATATGACATCAGCTGACAGGAAAAAATGATTTAGTCATATGAACTTAAATGAACAAAGACAGTAGAGAAAACGTTATGTTTACCGTTTGCAGCCACCAGTCACAAATGGATTAAGATTATACATCGGAGATAGCCAAGAGGAAAGACTCTTAAGCACCCAAGTAAGCTTCTTATCAACTTGATTTGCTATGAAGATTCTTTGGAGTGAAAACTACAAGAGCGTGACAAGAACAAAACCATTAGAACAGATTGCAAATACCAATAAATCAAAGAAATATGTAATCCAGGACTAGAAGATAATTTTCTTAAGATTACCCTTCCAACTCGTGTAGATAAAAAGGAGAGACACTGCAGGGCTATTGTAAGAAAACATCCAAGTTTTATCTTTTTAACTTTGAAGAGGGAAACAGGAGTGCAGAACATTTTGTTTACGTCGAGAAGGAAAGCAAATTGGTTTAATTCATTATTGTTGGTTCCCAAGGAAGAAGTTACTTATTGCATAGTGAACATAAACTAAGCAAGAGTCACTATTGGTAGCGCATGCGAGGGTGATACAATACCATTACGTTAAAATTTGCATGATAAAATCGTATGTGGAAAAAGCATGTTGACATTTCTTTTTCAACATAAAAAAATACAGATACATTAAATATTCAAAAAAATACATCCATTCACTGTGAATTAATTAACAGTTGTCTACGTCTCAATCACAAATGAGATGTGTCCATCTATAAATCCATCATAAACATCTGTTAACAGTGTTGTTTGGTTAATCGGTAGAGAGTACTGTTTAATACTTTGGCTTGGTGGATGGATCATCTATTTGTGAATCAATTCAGTTTGTTACAAAACATTATATTTTGGTCATGCAATAAAAACATCAATAACCAAACAACTTTGTATCTTAATAAAGCTTTCACCATAAATATTATACTGACATAAAAGATCTGCCGTTGCAACCAGATACAAAACAGAAAACGGTTCAACAGTGCTCGTTGAGAAGACATGAGCCATCTCCGCCACAAAAACCCTTACTCCCGATGGGGTTGAGACACCGGAAAGCTGAGATGGGTTAGGCCACTCATCATTAGCAGAAATTAATATACCAAGAACAATACAGGAAAGAAAGCTAAAGTTTCTTAATACTTACAAGTTACAACGACCCTAATTGTTTGCTAAACAACAGACTTGAGGCTTTAGAGAAAGCAACTTACAAGCAAGTCAGCTTAGAAGCATAGATATATACTTTAGAGACACTAACCTACTGATATACCTCCATTCATAAAAGAAACAAAATTAAGAACTTTAAGAAAACTTTACCAAGTAGGGAGGATCTGCAACGATTATATGGAAGTAATAATTCGGCATTAGCAAATCAGATTCATCACTTTTTTCATCAAAACTGTATCTCTTAGTACCTTGAGATACACGTAAAGAGTAGGGCAAGCAGTGCAAACGACTCTGCACCCTGAGAATCGTTGCAGTTATCATTTATTTATTCCTAATAATATGGTTTAATAATATTTCATTCTTAATATAACAATCGGTTCCGGATTGTTTGATAAGCACATATTTAATTCTTTGATAAATTATACATAATGATAATGTAAACCATCGTACATTTCAAAATATTGAACCGTTTTAAATAATTCAACCAATGTATATATAATATATGTATAAGCATTTTATCTATTAACATATAAGTCAAGATTTCTTTCATATGTGATTTTTTTATTTGGACCTTTTTTAAAATACTTTAATCATAATATCTTTTGATATCTTTTCATTTTAAATATAAATCTATATTTTATACAAAAATCTAAAAAATATGTTTAAAAGATTTTAAAAGATCTTAATATTCAAAAAAATTCGAGTAAATATTTTAATAATTCGTAATTAGTTTTAAAATATTATTACAGATTAATATATTTTATAAAATTTAGAATAGAAGTTTAACCAAATATGATTAATTATATTAATTATTAAATTTATATATTTTCTTTTCAGAAGTATTTATGTTCAAAATATAATATGTTGGTAACAAGGGTTAATATTCGCAAACTATATGATACCTGTATAAAAATTAACATGTATTTCATTAAAGCTACTAATATAAAATATTTGTAACTATTTTAGTCATAATATCTTTTTATTTTAATATAAATATAAATATAAATATAAATATAAATATATATAAATATATATATATAGTTCTAACAAATATGCTGAAAAATATTTTAACAATATCTTAACCTTCAGGAAGTTTATATAAATATTTTAACTAATTTTTTAATTAACAATGAAATATTATTATGCATTAATATATATTCAGTTATCATTTATAAAATGAAAGGTAAAAATTATATCTTATTTTATCTATTTTATAATAATACTAATTCATGTTAAAATAAAATTATTATATTGAATTACATATGATAAATTATACTAAATTGATAAATTTATAAAAAAAAAATTATAAATATAAAATATTTATGTTAAAAATATGATACAGTGACATAACGACTTAACATACACAAACTATATGATACATGTACAAAAATTGAAATATCTTAGACTTTTGTATATATATAAAGATTATATTTTTAAATGAATAAACGTGAAAATATTGCTAAAAGAAAATACGACTTTGAAGGTTAGCATATCAAAATCGGATATAAATTTGATACAAAATAATTTCAAATACATTTTTTCATGCATATATTATTTTTTTAATAACTAAATAAAAATACATTAACATAAATATATAATAAAAAGCGATAAATACATGTGATGGTTTTATACTATTGATTAATTACACCATGTAAACTATAAAATGGTAGTGTTTTAAAAAAAACTATAAAATTATTATATTTGAAATAGGTATATCAACATTTAAATATATGGTTGACGTTAAAATTGTATACCACTAATGAATTGAAATAAATCTATATGTTTATAAAACTGAAAAAGAACATTCACGCAAGATCTAGTTCTAGTTTAAATTTAAAGTACATAAATCTGGAACATGTACAATAGAGACAACTCAATTTAAAGTTAACTAATCTGGCTTCTGAGGTAACTCAATTTAAATTTTAAAGTTCACCAATCTGGCACATTTACATTTAGAGACAATATTAAAAAGTTTAACGAATATCCAAAGACTGGATGGCGAGTTTGGCTGCAATTAAGGAAATGTTCTCCTCGATGAGTCCCATTGAAAGTTCTAATCTCTCCACTGTATCTTTTGTATCCATTGCCTTTAATTTCTGTTGTTGTAACCTTGATAGTTCCGACTGTGTGGATCCTGCAAAACAAGAAAACCCGAAACAAAAAAACAATACTAAAGGCAACTCTCAGAGCCGTTCGTAACTTAATAGTTTTAAACAGAAAACCTTCTTTGACTCTTGAAAACACAAGAGAGAAAAGATGTAAGAATTACCGGAAACCGGTTGAAATGCAGCAAATGATAGACGTTCTTGAAGGGAAGGAAAGAAGGATTCTTCACATTCTTCCGGTGGTTCATCTTCAGCCCAATTCAAAGAATCAAAGAGGCGAGTTTGCAGCGGTGAGTTTTCTGGAGCCTGTTGTAAAAGGAAGTAATAAGCCAACGGTTCATCTTATCAGAACATTACAGTAAAAGATCTTTAGACTACACAACTTTTCTAGAACGTTCCATTTCAATTTTTTCTTGCAACACGCTTCTGAGGGGACCGGATGATACATTGAGTTGTTTCCTTAAGTTTGAGTAGGTTTGTTATACCTTAAGTTTGATCTCCAAGCTGTTGAGGTTCGTCATAGATTCCTTTATCTTGGAGATTTTTGAGGTTATTTCATTGCTGCTCTCGTAATTAAAACGATCTTGTATTGGTCTGACCTCTCCAGACAAATAAGGATCTGTCTGAGACCAAAAAAAAAAAAATACAGTCATTTGTTTTTGTGCAAAGAGAAGGAACACAATAACTCTCACACTGCAATGTTTAACAAAAAGATATAATTTCTATTTTGCATTCTTACTTACTCCTAAAAATCTTGAAATTTTTACACGACAAGCGCCTCTTATCGAGACAAGTGCTCCAATGTCTAATCTTTCGACCTGTAATATATCGATCGGATTTAGCTTGACACATCAAAGAAAGATCAAAAAGTCTCATGATGAGAAGAAGCTTACATTTTCAACAAGTACCAAGCAGCCATATCGAGCAGCAAAGGATGCTTCTGTTGCTTTCTCACTAATCGAAATAGGATCGAGAATGAAATGAACAAACATATTCTTCTTTCTTTTCATCGACTGCACGAACCAAAGTAACTACTAGATTAACTTCAAAGGTGAGAATCCATCAAATAAATTGTCTGAATGAATCATAGAGATTAGACAGACCTCCTCAAGTAGTGCCAAGTATCTTGCTTCGTACAAATGCAATGTTTTACTCTCCGTTGGCACAAGAACCTGTAACAATATGTTAAAAGCAAGCAAGAAATTCATATTTAAAATTGCTGTGATATTAACCTCGCTCATGCTGAAGGGAAGAAGAGGAAGATGGAGTGATTTGGCGACAACTTTCAAACGACGATGCTGTTTCACTATATTGCTACCTCCCGAAATTGAAGTCGCCGGTATTCGAACCCAGCTCCTATATTCGGTAGGGAAGATGGAGGTAGAGAGAAGAGAGGAAATTAAGGTGGAAGTCATCGGGAAAACGTAAACCGCACTATCGTGACTTCCGTTTCTCCCCCAAGCTCAGCCGTCAGAAATCATGGGTAGTAGAAGATTAGGTGGTGGGGCCTACTAACACATTTTAGGAAACTATATAAGATTTTTTTTTATTATTATTATTTTTATATCTAGTATCTCCTATTATTATGTTATGAGAAAAAAAATATTTACAACAACAATACTATTATCTTTTAATGTCATGTAAGCAAAAAATTGGTGCTAAATAGGAATGCACTAACGTATATTAATAAACTTAACTCTAAAACACTATAAATTTCATTATGGCTGATAGAATTATTGTCTAGAACAAGAGTGATTCTGGTAGACTGGAATTGAGTTACGCCGAAGATGGCTGTAATGGAACAAAGAATTAAATTCACACTAAAGTCCAAATCACATGGGGAATTTCGAAATCACTCATGGTGAATGTTGCAGTTTAGAACAAAACTACCGTGATATGAGCGTTTAACTGAAAATTCTCCTTGAACAATAACACTTACTTTTTTTGGAAACCGTCATTACGCTATGCTCGTTAGTTTGATTTTCTAGGGAAGTCTCGCTGAAAATAGCTGCCTTTTACAATTCCTTTTTATACTAACTTGATCGAAAGAGCTTGTATGTTGTCGTGTTGTTTCATTGGAGTCTTGAGTGTTGAGTAATCTTGATGTGATGAAGGGTATTTGTTTGTGAATGAGTAGTGTCTTGTCTTGATTGTTGATTTTGTCTCTTATTTGATTGATTAATGATTTTTGCTTGCCTTGGTAGTTTTGAACTGAAGTAAGCTTTGTTGAAACTTGAGTTTTGCAAAGTTCTTGGTTTATTCTGACTATTCTTGTTGTATTCTTGTTTTGTAAGTATCTATTTTCAAATTTTTTTAAAAATAATATAATAATTTTGTATCTTCTTAAATTATAAATACAAAGAGCAACCTGAGATTAATAAAGAAAATGTCATTATAGCCATCAAGTTTTCGCCAAATATAAGAACTTAATCTATTAAGTATAAGTTTACAAGTTTTTACTAATTTGAATAGACTTTTCAAAACTAAAGATAATATGCCTAAAAATATACTTATTAGAACCTTGTCAAGTGCGTTGTCAACCTAGGTGTTCCAGGTTGTAAGTCCTTAAGGCAGTGTCTGTTGGTAAGCCGTTGTTCCGTTCTCGAAAATATTGGTTAGTTTGCATTTTACTTTGAATCATAATACAGTTTAAACATGGATTCTTCAGTTAGAAAGTGGTTTAGATCAAAGCATGCATCTTCTTCTGCAACTCAAAAAACAATTAATTCAAGAGAAATAATGTCAACAACATTTAATCAAGAAATATCACATGATCAAAAATTCCTCATATTGGTCCAGAAAATATATATCAAATAGGAACTTTTGATTTTAAAACTGCATATTCTATTAAAGAAAATGAAAAGACTATATCATTACAAATGAATTTTAAGAAATTAAATTACTATCTTCTATGAATTTAGAAAGATATAGAAGCAAAAACCTTAATTATATTCATTTTGGATTAATAAAAATAACAATCAAACCTTTGTATAGGACAAGGATTTCCAATATTTATGTTATTAAGTAAAATTTGAAGACTCTTTATTAGGAGCTGTTCAAACAAATTTATGTAATGGTAGCTGTATATTTTAATTGTGCTCCAATTTTTCAAGTAAGTTTACATTATCCAAAAATATTTAATACCTTTATTTTAAATGTACATTTACCAGAAATTAAATTCCAACAAAAAAAAAAAAATATGACTAGCTATTATTTTATATAATATATTTTAAGTAATCTACCTCAGAGTTTAATTCTAGATGTTTATTACAAGATGATAAAGTAGCAATACTAGCTGTCCATAGTGAAGATACTCCTACATCTACTTATACTCCTAAGCAACTAAAATGGACAGAAATTATTATCCCTGACCAATGGAAAATTTATATTACACAACCACCAAAAATTTTGAACATAAAATTGTTACTTGTATAACTGAACAAACGGATGGTAGAATACTATTAAGAATTGATTATCGAACAAGTAGATCTAGTTACTTAAGAGCGGCTCCTAATCAAGGCTTAGAAGAAACGATTCTTGTTAGACACGTGTAAGTAGCGTATTGGCTGTATCGATGAAGAATCTCAGTGGCTCTCAGCAACAGAGGATCTTGGTAGCTCTCGTCGTCGACAAAAATTGGTGGCTCTCCTCCACGAAGAGAATCGCCAGTTGCTGCTGAGTTTACCTAGAAAGGTAAAGGTATGCAATTTTGATTTATTTTTCAATCCCTCAATTCTTCATGTCATAGATTTGTGTTCCTTCTTGTTCGTGTCTGATATTTACTCTTTAAATCTGATTTCTTCAATTGCAGATGCAATTTCCATTGAAGAGACAACTAATAATTCCCTGGGAGACAATCGATCTTCTCTGTAAACTCAATGTTTGATTTTCCCTACCTAACATCGATCTTCTCGGTTCTTTATAGAGTTCTCGTTAATGATAATGCGATGTTGATGGTGAGCTTTCAAACTGATTAGAGTATTTCGTAGATTGTTTTAGTTAATGTAAAAATATGATCAACATTCATGTTCCATATAATTAGTATTGGTTTCGAACTGATTTGATCACTTCTGTTCGTATTGGTTTAGTACATTATCGATAGGTGTTTTGGTTTAATGAGGTAGAATCACGAGAATGAAGAAAAGTATTGATAAATTTAATATATTAATTCTGTGATTTTTTTTTGACTTGTTTATGTCTTTGTGTCTTAAGGTGGATGGATATGGAGACATGAGGAAGGTTAAGAAAAAAAAAGAGCAACGTTTGCAATACGGATACAACATTTATCTTTCATCTTTTCAATTGCTTAAAGTATTTTGAATCTTTTTAAATTGAAGCGTGTGTAATAAATGTTTTGGTTAGGGTCAGATTATGGTTGAATCTTGTTTGAATTGAAGCGTGTGTGAGTAATGTGTTAGCTATATGTAAAGTTTATGGGTTTTGATGAATGTGTAAGATAAAGTGATCATGTCCTCTTCGTAGTTCGTCCTCTCTTCCATTTATTAAACGCATATCTTCTTCTCTTTCTCATCATATTTTAAACATTGTTCTTCTATTTTTGTTCCATCTAAACACATTCCTTCCTCTTGTTCTTCTCTTTCTCTCGTTTTTCACACTTTTGGATATGGATTATAATCCATATATGAGTGGGAGAAACTTTGTTGATCTTCTTCAAAGTCAACAAGGAAGTGTTTTTGGTGCATCAGAAGTTTCCGTATTTGGAACTCAACATAGCCACGATTGCAACTTCGTTGAAGATACTCTTGTAGATCGTAAAGAACGCAAGACATGGACGCCTACAGATGATATTCTACTCATCAGCTCATGGTTAAACACCAGCAAAGATCCTGCTGTAGAAAATGAGCAAAAATCAGGTGCATTCTGGAAAAGAATTGCAGCCTACTTTGTGGCAAGCCAGAAGGGAGCAGAGTGCGAACAGAGAGAGCCTAATCACTGCAAGCAACGATGGCAGAAGATCAACAAACTCTTGTGCAATTTATGTGACTCCTATGAAACTGCAACCAGGGAGAAGACCAGCGGACAAAATGACACTGATGTTCTAAAAAAAAGCGCATGAGATCTTCTATAACAACGATAAGAAGAAGTTCAACCTTGAGCATGCGTGGATGGAGCTCCAAAATGATCAGAAATGGTGTGATCTTTCAAGATCAAAACATGATGGAAGCTCTAAACAGAGGAAGTTGGACGACGTTGCACAATCATCAACATCTCACGCAACTGAGAGCAAGAATTCTGAAGCTGATTAAGGCACCAATCGTCCCCCGGGTGTTAGGGCAGCTAAAGCACATGGTAAAAAAGATGGCGGTTGAGGAGTAGGGGTTGGGTGAGTTTCAGACAATGTGGTCCATTAAACAGCAAGATCTTATCATGAAAGAAAGGATGTCCAAGATGTCTCTGCTTGGCAGCCTAATTGCTAAAAACGAACCACTGAATGTGTGAGGAAGCTATAAAGAAGAAGCTTATCAATGACTTGTTGTCTGTTTGAGTTCCTTTCTGTGTTGTGTTTGTTGTATTTTTGCTTAGAAGTTTAAGTTGCTGGTTGTGTTTGTTGTATTTCCGCTTAGAAGTTTAGGTTGCTGGTTGTGTTTGTTGTATTTCCGCTTAGAAGTTTAAGTTTCCGGTGTGTTTGTTGTTCTGGTCATGTAATGGATTTTTTTTTGTATTTCAAAAGTATTAAAGTTCAAGTTTGTGTTTGTTGTTATTGTTCTCTTATGACGCATTTCAATTATTCTCTTCTTATGATGGTGGCTAAACTTGAGTATGTTGCTCTGATTTCCGGGTTGGAAAATCTACATAAGTAGATAGCTTTCAGTTTCAACACCCCGCACAAGCTTCATAGTACTTGTTCTCTTCGAAGAAGTAAGTTTCCCACTTACTCTTAGTAACAATTGTTCTTGTTCTCTTCTAGAAGTTTTTGTTTCTGTTTGTTGTTATGTCATCGAGCTTGTATTCTGACCTTTCTATCATATACTTTTTTTCTTGTTCTCTTCTAGAAGTTTGTGTTTCTGTTTGTTGTTATATCATCGAGTTGTTCTTGTTATGTTCGGTTTGTTGTTCTTGTTCTCACGAGAGTTTCCAATACAGGTGAGGAGAGCAGAGACTTGTCTTATTGTGTGTTATGACGACTCTGGTGTGTCACGAGAGTTCTGTGCCAGTCTTGTTATATTCTTGTGTGTCACAGACTCAGAGTCTTGTGTTTACAAATGTTTTGTAAAGTCATGTCTTCATTTTTTTTTTATGTCACGAGAGTTCTTGTATTGTTTTTATGTCACGGACTCAAAGTCTTGTGTCTTGTAAAACTTTGGCTATTTAAGTTTGTATGAACCAAAGTTATATTCACAAGACTCTTTTATTGTTTCATATTCTCTCTTATTGTTTCATATTCCTGTTCCTTCTCTCTTATTGTTTCATATTATCGTTCTTTCTCTATTGTTTCAATTCTCTTTCTTCAACTTCATTTTATAAAATTTTATTCACAAAGTCTAAACCATAAATGGTATCTTCTTCTTATAAAAATATTGATGAAACTTTCGATTAATCTTTCGATTAATATTTTGATCAAACATTCGAGAATATGAGCAATGATAACGGTGATCAAGAAGATGGAAGGAGGAAGACAAGGAAAAACGTGTTTTTATCAAAAGATATTATGAAGAATGCTATACGACTATGGAATGATTATTTCAGTGAAACTCCAAAATATTCTGTAAATCTATTACATCGGCGATTTAGAATGAATAATCCATTGTTCATGCATATTGTTGATCGTCTCTCCAATGAAGTTCAATTCTTTCGACAAAAGAAAGACGGCATCGGAAGGCTTGGTCTCTCTGCATTTTCAAAGTGTACAACAGCTATTCGTGTCTTGGCATATGGTACTGCGGCTGATACGGTCGACGAATACCTCTGGCTCGGTGAAACTTCTACTCGGTTATGTGTGAAAAAAAATTGTGGGGGGAATAATAATTTTTTCGGCGATGAGTACCTAAGAAGACCAACACCGAATGATCTTCAACGTCTATTGGAGAGCTTCATGGATTTTCCGGGATGATAGAAAGCATCGATTGTATGTATTGGAAGTGGAAGAATTGTCCCACTGCTTAGAAAGGGCAATATTCCCTTGGTTCGGGATAATCCACAATCGTTTTAGAGGCCGTTGCTTCATATGATATCTGGATATGACATACGTTTTTTAAACATCCATGTACCTTAAATGATATCAAAGTTGTTGACCGTTCACCTGTTTTTGATGACATAATAAATGGTCAAGCTCCGTAAGTGAATTTCTTGGTCAACAAAAAAGAGTATCATTTGGCTTACTATCTCACGGATGGTATTTATCCAAAATGGGAAAATTTTATTCAATCTATTCAAATTCCAGAAGGACCGAAAGCCGCTTTATTTGCTCAACGTCAAGAAGCTGTCCGAAAAGATGTCGAGCATGCTTTCAGAGTCTTGTAAACTCGATTTGCAATTGTCAAAAATCCAGCAATCTTGTGGGATAAAGTCAAGATTATGAGAGCATGTATCATACTTCATAATATGATAGTATAAAATGAACGAGATCAATACTCTCAATTTTATGTTTCAGAATTCCAACAAGGAGAAGGCAACGGAAGTTCACTGTCAATCTCACCTACTCTACAGATATCCCTACAAATATCGCCAATATGATGGGTGTTTGAACTAGAATTCGTGATAGACAAGTGCATCAACAACTCAAATCTGATTTGACTGGATATATAAAGCGTTAATTTGGACGTGATCAAGACAACAACTGAGTTTCGATGCCTCTTTGAAATTATTATCGTTTATTTTAGTAATTTTTTTTATGTTTTTATTTTAAAATATATGTTTAAAATGTTATCTTTCACTGTGTTTTATTTAATAAAAACAAAATTTTAATTAAACAATGGTTAAAATAATTTCTTTTAAGAACCCTTAATTAATAAACTACCAATAGAGCAGTTAAACTAGGTGGTTCTTAAGAAAAGTTCTTAATTTTAATTTAATCATAAATTATTCACTACGAACCTAATTAGAGGTTCCCCCAATAATCATGCTCTGAGTCTTTATATGTTTTTATACAGAAATTGCATGAAAGGTGATAAATGTCATTTTTACATGTTTTTAGCTATTGATTTATGGTCATTTTAGTGTTTAGGAGTTGCATTTAGGTGTTATTAGGTGTTGCATTTGTATATTTTTGATATTACTCAAATTATTCCAAGGAGCGAATTACTCTCAAATAAGAGGTTCAGTTGCAGTACTTAGGGATCGAATTCACAAGGAACTAGGATATGCAATAGATCTAATTAGGGTTATTAAGCTAGGTTGAAAGTGTTTAAATAAAAAGACTGTGTTGAAAATAAGGTAGTTGTTCGGTTGGTTTGAAGTACGTTTATAACGATATTAAAAAGTAGCTAGACTTAGAGTTTTTATTCAGGTAATCATGATTATAGAGATCTAGGTGCTAAGTTGGATGATATATTAGAGCTCAACTAAAATACAAATCTATCAGCTGTGGCAATGTTTAGACTCGTCTATTGACTAGATTTACTATCTCAGCTGTCGCAATTTTGATTAGTAGAAAGTGTTGATCGAGGACTCTATAGAACTATAGGAGTGCCGATCGATACACCTTTCGCGAGCGTCGGTTGACTATTCGATATGAATATCGATCGATCGGCTTCTAGCCAAGCCTTAGGCGCGGATTGAATAATTACTCACTAGTTCCCTAAATCAGCTGACACCTTTCTCTAGCAATCATAGTTCAAAAAAAAGAATATGAAAAAGCTCTCTTTGCCGGCAACACATGGCAAAGGTTATTATACTTAGGTTAAACTCGTCAGGGGTAATATCGTAATTTGGTAAATACATCAAACCGCTTGAGCCAAAATCGTGTCTCTGCGTTTTACGCCCATCTATCGATGTCACGAGGTTTGCATCGATTGATCATGATCTCCAAGTATCGACCTCTCGGCCGGCTCGATGGTCAGCTCGGGTGAAATTCCTCTTGTCTCCAAAATGAATCCAAAATCATAACCTTCTTCCAAATCACTCATGGACCTATAAATATATTATATGGACTCTAAAACATGATAATTAGATCATAAAACATTTATATACCATGGCTGAAAATGGGTAAAATTCATGGTATATCAATTCTGCATATATAGGAGTGCTCAATCTAAAGTTATGGGGATGAAACGAGGACAAAAGTGCACAAATGGAAGTTATGGTACCAAAGTTGAAGAGGAAGAAGAAGAAACACAGTTTCACCTGCAGCTCCAAAGTACCCGCTTCAAAAAGTTGTTTTCAACGCTTTGTTGCTGTTAGGAAATCTGCGAATTTACCTAGAGTCCTGAAGTGGCCACTTTAGGAAAGTTGCATCTTTCACTTGATGTTCTAGGGAAGCTATTTTGTTCGTGCCTTTGTATTTTGAAGCCCTTTAGTGCTTTGCTTATATATGTTTGTAATGATGATGAAAACCTTAAATTACCTCAACCACTTTTTCTCTTGTTTTAGATCTGAAACTCTAGTTTGTTCTTATTCTAATCAAAGTATTTATCTTGTTTTATCTTTTCTACTCTTCTTTAAATATGATTCTTCAAGGATCGGTGATAGATTCTTGAGTTTCAATGGGTTATAGAGAGTAGATTTTTAGAGTTTTTTGGGTTGGTAGATTAGAATGAAAGATGAATGATTGATGATGTTTAAGGCTAGATTAATATTTTTTCTTACAGATGAGATGTACTTAATGCTAGAATAGACTTGATCTCTCTATTTTTAGATTTTAGATTATTTCATCCTCGAGAGGTATTCGATGAAATGTCTAAATGTTTCATATTGTGTTTTGCTGCTTGACCGACTAGAATCGTTGCATTAAAGGCATTTCGACTATTAAGACTCGTTTGAATGCATACTTAAGCGTAGTTAACCAACGAGAGTTGATGTATTAATACATGACTAGCACAGGAACTCCTATGTTAAGAAGCAATTGTAAGTTGATAATGTATGACATCTAAGTCTAAGTCAATCATCTCTGATCAATTACCATACCCAACAGGTTGTCTTTCTTAGTGATTCATATTATCTACTAGTAGCTATTACTTGTCTTTACATTCCATTAGTTTAGAAATCACCTCACCTCCCTATTTACTTAGATTAAGGAAATTTATGTATTTTTAGTGTTACCAATCACTAATTTTCTGTAGATTTGATCCCAAAGTGCTGTAATGACATACCATTTATTTGTGGTATTGTGCACATTAGATTAATTGGCATGTGATAAAACGCAGAACATTAAAAGGTTTCCGGTATTTTAAACACTTCAGTTAAACCACCATGAAGTTTTTTTGGTGTTTTTAGTAAAGTTAAATTTAAATACACTTAAGTTAAATACTAATCATAATTAGTTAATTTTCTCATACAAAAAAAACAGAATTGCAATCATGGTTTTTTTTTTTTTTTGCTAATCATGTTTTCATATTAAACTAGTGTAATCATTCCAATATTTCCTTATTGACCACTCATTAAAAGTCAAGTTTAAAAATTTACATTAATATATGTCTAGGTTTAGTTCAGATTTGTACGTATCTCTTTTATATGAAAACAAGTATCAATATATTTAATTGTGTATAAACAAAAGTTATTGTATCTTTTTGGAAAATAGATTAAAGGTGGGGGTTATTTATAATCTTTTTAAAAGCTAAAAAGTTTTACAATTCCAACCGGCGCCGTTTGGTAGACCGGCCAAGTTAAGGGAAAGAACAGATGACTTATTATTTTTGTTTTTGTGAACACCACAGAGGACCTAATAACAACAATAAAAATTAGAGTGCGATCGTGAAAGCTCTCTATGTTTAGGAGGGAGAAGAGAAAACAGAGGATTCTATTTTCTCCACAGCCAATGGAAAACATTGACATCGATAGATTGACATTTCATGAGAACCTCCTAATCAGACATTGCCGCCATTGTCGTTCTCTCTCACGTTCCCATCTAATCCTAGACACCAACCCTCCAATATTCAAGAGTTTTCATACCCTTTCTCCTCTTTTTCAATATTCTCTGTTTTTAATCTTCCATTACAGAACATCTTCTTCTTCTGTCTCATTTCGGGTTATGTTTGAATCGCACGCAAGGTCTGTGTCCTTTGTGCTAATGTTTTTGATGATTACAAAAAAGTAAAAACATTTTCTGTCTTGGTTCTTGCAGAAATGAAGACAATTCTTAGATCAGTCAGCTTTAATAACGACAATGACTCGGATTCAACCATCACTGAACCACCTGAAACTAGAAAGATGCGATACAACAGATCTTTTAACATGAAAGGGACACAAAGAAGACCTAGCCTCTCTTCAGAAGACGTGGAGAACAAGCTTTCTTTAAAGCCTTTAACGTTCATGAAAGAAGATGACGGATACAAAATGCGAATATGGAGGCCTTTATCCGAAAACGATCATGTCAACGAGTTTCTAGCGTTAATAACTGACGGAAGATACCAAGCTGCGTTGAAGTTGCAGAAGGTTTATAGAAGCTTTCGAACCAGGAGAAGGCTAGCTGATTGTGCTGTGGTGGTTGAGCAAAGATGGTACGTAGAGATATAAATAGATAGAGAGAATATTTATCTTTTTAGTAACCATATGGAGTTTGCAGGTGGAAGGTACTTGACTTTGCTGAACTTAAAAGAAGTTCTATATCGTTCTTTGAAATTGAGAAGCAAGAGACTGCAATTTCACGCTGGTCTAGAGCAAGAACAAGAGCTGCTAAGGTAACAACATTAAAATTTAGGAGTGTAAACATGTTTAAGTTAATTTTAATATAATATTCGACAATTCAGGGGCAATGTGATTTATGTATAATAGATTCTTTTAAAATTTGGAGACTAAAGAGAATGTTTTCATTCGGCTGTGCTCAGAACCGGTCACATATGTTTTCTTCCCTTGCACTAATCTTTAATGTATGGTTAAAAAAATTTTATCCCTTAGGTGGGTAAAGGCTTGTCAAAAGATGAGAAAGCTAGGAAGTTGGCTTTGCAACACTGGCTTGAGGCAGTAAGAATTTTCTTTTAAAATGTTTTTTTTGTGTGGATATGAGTTTTGTGTAATGCCAAAATGTGATCTTAACAGATAGATCCTCGACATCGCTATGGCCACAATCTGCAATTCTATTACCATGCATGGCTCCATTGTGACAGTTACCAGCCCTTTTTCTATTGGTAGGTTTGCTATTAAACAATTAAAAATGTGACAGTATCAGGAGTACAACATTTTACAACCTAACACCCAACTTTGTACGTTTTCAGGCTTGACATAGGAGAAGGAAAAGAACTGAACCATGAAAGATGTCCAAGATCAAAACTCTACCAACAAAGCATCAAGTATCTTGGTCCGGTGAGTTCTTAATTAATAGACCATTTCTGATGACATTCATGTGTTCTCCTGTCCTGACCAATGCTTTATTATTTATTTATTATGAACAGACTGAAAGAGAAGCATATGAAGTGGTGATTCAGGACAGCAAACTAATCTATAAGCAAAGTGGGATAGTTCTGGACACAAAAGAAGGTCCTCCAGATACAAAGTGGATTTTTGTCCTAAGCGTGTCTAAGATAATGTATGTTGGGATGAAGAAAAAGGGAAACTTTCAACATTCTAGTTTTCTTGCTGGAGGGGCTACCTTATCTGCTGGTAGGATTGTGGTTGATGATGGTGTTCTTAAGGCAGTTTGGCCTCATAGTGGACATTATCTACCCACAGAAGAGAATTTTCTGGCGTTCATGTCGTTTCTTAGGGAGAACAATGTCGACCTCACAGATGTAAAGGTAAAAAATCCAGTATTTTCTGAGTTTAGGGTATGATTAAAGCCATAACAGATACTTTCCTTTTTTTCAATTTATATAGAAGAGTCCAGATGAAGATGATGGAGAACATCATTTCAAGGTCAAGAGAATGCCTTCAAGAATCAAAGAGGTTGAAGAAGAACCATCTGACTTTGTGGACGCTGAGACTGGTGAAAGTCCAAACGCTAAACCCAAAACTCCTGCAGAGAAACAGACATTAACAAGGTTCCATAAGGACATGGTTGAGGATGATCAGTATGATGAAGAAGAAGAAGAGACTGGAACACCTTCAGAAGAAGGATATGAGACAGCAGAGGAGACATTCATAGCTGAGGAAGAGTTTGCATACCCTAAATCTCATCTCTTCGATGAAGACATTGAAGAATACGAGCAGCCTGTGCCTAAGGAGAAGATAATGAAGAGGATAGATTCACACAAAGGAATCAAATCTTATCAGTTAGCTGAGAGGCTACACTCTAGATGGAGTACTGGTGCAGGGCCTAGGATCAGTTGTATGAGAGATTACCCTTCAGAGCTTCAGTTTAGGGTTCTTGAACAAGCTCAACTATCTCCAAGAGCTTCAAGCTCTAACCCATCTCCTTTTGCTCCAGTTAGATCACGTGGAACAAGTCTTGGGAGAAGTCCTTTCTCTCAAGAACTTGAGAGGCTTTAGGTCTACCTTTAAAGTATGTGTATGAAGCAAGTGCTCATGTGATGAAGTGGCCGGCTTGAGTGTTTTTTTTTTTTTGTTATGAAAGGTGCAGAACTAATAAGGGCTTAAATGAAGGATGATCTTCTTTTTACCTAGTTTCACAAGTCACCTTTTCATTATAGATTAATATTTCATATTTTTGTCGTGTGATTATTTTGTAATTCACTGTCATATATTAATATCTCTTTACCCTGAAAGGATTGTTGTTCGTCCATGGAAAACAAAAACAGAGCTGAAAAATTTTAATAGCTGTTGGATATTTGTGCTGATAACTATCTCTACCCATATATTTTCCGAGCCAAATGGATATTTAAGGTGAACAAAGGGCTCAAATGAAGAATGATCTTCTTATCATTTCAATACCGTACAGAATGTCGGATATATTGATCAACCTTGTTACTGAGACACAACATAGATTTTTCTCATAAAATCAAAACAAATAACAGAACAGATCAAATTTTACAGATATTTTACTCACTTCTAATAAATAGCTCAGATTGGTGTCTTCTACAGAAACTAGATGAACAAAATGAGGATTATTTCAAAATCACAAAGAAGTATTTAGAATGCAGATCAGAAACAGAGGAGCAGATTATGAAACATGTTGGTGACATTTTGATACTGACACAGGTATAAAGTTTTTGCAATACGTACGCCTTGCCTGGTCTGTTGTCGATCTTGTTCCTTCGCTGTTCTCTTACATTAACTTGTATTACTATTAACAGATTCATACTTGCATCACTTGACAATACACAGTCACGATTGTTGCGGCCTTAAAGAACTTCATACTAGTCATGTACTCAATGTATATATCAAAAGAGTGTAATAACAGAAATTCAAGGGAGAATGATGGTAATAAATCAAAATAATATCTCAAATGCAACAGATTCTGATGCAGAAAGGAGCTGAATAATTTCAGCCATACACAAATACTCATGGAGGTTTTAAAGTTCATAGACCTCGCTGCCTATATATTACACTATTCCAAAGAAGGGGCTCAATCGATTTTATGGAGGAGCAACCAGGAATACAAATGCGATGTGCCATATAAAACAAACAGAGATCTTCAGAAACGAACAGGACTTTGCAGCTGAGAGAAGGTTGACTTGTGTTTATAGGAAGTAGTCAGGTGTCCTTCGGGTCACATCTGGTTCTCCTCTCCTTGGGGCTGGTTCAAACTGTTTCAATATTTTATGACTTTGTTAGCCTTTTTTTTTTTCCCTTTCAGGGAGGTCAAAATGAAGATTTCTAGACATACCTGGATGAAGGTGTGGTTCCTGCAGTCATCGACCTCAAGAATGGAGGCCATGTTCCCACAGCGATAGCAATAGTTTGGTGCACTGAAAATAGTAACCACCTTTTGCTCCTGTCAATACAAATATATTTCTAACATAGTAAGCAAAGATTCTCAGGTTTGGCTAGTCTATGCATGGGAGAAAAGTTTACGTGTGCCCAGTTGAATCCATCCATAACCAGCTGATGCGCTCTAGCGATAAGTTTTAAGCTGTTGCTGTGGTTGAATTGTTCTGAGATGTCCTATGGAAACAAAAATGAAAAGTTAAAGTCAATTACACACTTATTTTGAACAAACAAAGCAAAAGAAGATTCAGAACAGCTACTGTAACAGTGGCTACGTAATCCAAATACCTGACCAAATGTATATCCGGCACCACGGGGAGAGATCCCCCAGCCACATCTGTCATCAGGATCAGACCATAATAAGTCACACATAGGCCCTTCATGTGGGACTTCTTGAACTCGATCGAAGTTCCTAATGTTATCAAGGGTCTCGATAGACGGTGACAATCCACCGTGAAGGCAGAATATTTCCGACTCCACCTGCAAACACAACATTTGACATGAGATGGACAGCCTCCTTATTTGTTGAAGAACTCTTACAATGCACAATCAATTCAATTAGACAGGCTGTATTTTAAAGATCGTACATTCTAGGCTCAAAAAAAGTGCAAGTGGTAAATGCAATTTCTATCGTCATCCACAGCACTTCAGAATAGATACCATCTCAAATTGAAGTGACACTTGTCAACCAAATACGCTAACACAAAAAGACAATCTTTTGATTGTATAGAATATTGAGAGAGATGAAATAGCCAATGAGTCATCTATAAAGGTGCAAAGTAATGTACAAAGTACTAACCAAGGCTGTCAGTGGAAAATAGTCGAAAAGGTCTGTAAATATCTTCCAAACATTTGCATTGCCATACCTGCAAGTACAAGGAAGATTTGTTATGAACTTGCAAACGAAAGGACCCAAAATATCTTCGTACATGCGTAGAAGGAAAATTGCACGTCTCTGATTAGCACTAACAAACAACTAAGGTATGTAAAACATAACACTGAGAACAATCAGATGAGCAACGTAATATCAGAATGCACAGACTATTAGTGAACAAAAAATCAGCAGCATGACATGAACAGTGTCAGTTAGCAGCTTATAAAACATAAGAATGTTTGAGACTCACTTTCGCAGGCATTCATCATAAAATCCATAAACTTGAGTAATCTGCCAGGGGGAAAAAGTGTATTAAACCATGAGTCGATAAAAAAATGGAGGACAAAAATATATAGGAAACCTTAACTGACTTGTAAATGGATATAGCATAATGCAAAGACATGAACAAAATTGAAATTATGATAGGATCTCATCTAAGATTTTAATGACAGATAACAGAAATACTATGTTAACATTGTATACCTCAGAACGTGAACGTATAAGTAGATACAAAGTTTGTTTACCTGACGACTTTCATGATTTCCTCTAAGAATTGTGATCCGCTGAGGATACCGTACTTTCAAGCCAACTAACAGCTGCAAATGGAATTTAAAAAGAAAGAAAGTGTATATCAGCATCGTAATTTAAATGACATTCATAGACGTTAAGAAGTGAGACCATCCAATATAGACACAGGATATGTGATTAAAATATATAACAAGACAAAAGATGTCTTTCTACTCAGATAATTATTATCGAACAAAAAAAACTGCAGAGGGTATAAACTTGGTACCGTAACAGTTTCGACAGAATAATATCCACGGTCGACATAGTCTCCCATAAAAAGATAGTTGGTATCAGGGCACTGCAAAAGAGCGTAAAATGAACAATCAGCAGACAATAAATTAGAACCAGAAAGAACTACTTTCAAATATAAGCCATGTGAAAAGACTCCAAATAATTATGAATATTCGGTGAGCATACACTCACACTATGTATTACCAGCCCAGAATTAATAATTGCTAGAAAAGATGGAAGCTGAGAAAAATCATAATAATTGCTTCATTATGGCTCTCAGAAAAGTGTTAAAGATCTTACATTTCCTCCAATACGGAAAAGCTCTTGAAGATCATGGAATTGTCCATGAATATCACCACAGATTGTCACTGGGCTTTTGACAGGCTGCATGCAAGTAAAAGTATAAAATTACCTCTGCTTAAACCAAACAAAATGAATGTGTGCGTAAAATTAATTCAACGTAGCTACACAGTCAACCACACGAGAATTATGATCACCATTAAGAGATGCAAGAACTAACCTGAACGTTGCTTTCATCCATCAAGATCTCCTTAGCTTTCTCGCATAATGCTCTAACCTATTGAAATCAAAACAACACTGCACATGATAAGTTCATTTTCACCTCCAAGAGATACAGGACTAGCATCGATGTCCACCATAAATTGAAATGTCAAAGTAGAGAGATCATTTTGACATAAGCAGCAAACAGAAAGATCATTCACAGCGAAATGGCCTTATTTTAAAGATATTGATCAATTACTTTCTCGTATGAGCTTCAGAGTCCAAAGCGCATACAACCTCTCTCTCAGACACACTAGCAAATGCTGTTCTGTCTTTTTTCATTATTTACCCAACAAAAGCATCTAACTAGTGAGATTTGATTTTGGTAACCACCTATCCAAAATGATAAACTTTTCTGTGAATCGCCACCTATTCAAGAACCCTATCTTGAAATAATCCAAAAAAAAAGTCATTTACTTTCAACCCATAAATCCTACGTGGATGCGACTCTCATACTCACAGAAGAAAAGAAGAAAACCTTTTTCTTCATTACAAACAAAAAATCTGAGATCCAATCAACGATAGTCTCTCCTAATTCAAACAACAAGAAACTAAAAAAGGGAGAGAAATTGGAGGAACCTGTTGCTCGGAGAGAGGCTTGCACTGCATGAGCTGTGAGATCTGCTCATCAAGATCGAGCGTTGCGTCCGTCGGAACCGAATTCGCCCCCATCTTTCTTTATACTCTGCTTCGTCTACGGATCGGGTAAACAGATTAGGGGCAGCCCTAACCCTAAATTGGATGGATTCTGCGTCTTCTTCGCCTCTCTCTCTCTCGCAGAGTGAGAGGAAATCGATATGAGAGGGGCGCGTGAGGAAAAGAGGCGAGTGGTGGTTTGTAGTAGCTTTCGAGACAAATCTTGTGTTTACTTTAATACCCTTACTCCGGAGATCTAAATGTGGAGGAAAGTCGTTAATGTTTTTAAAAATCCGTTTGTTTTGGTCAGAAGTATTTTAAAAATCTGTTATTTTGTGAAAACTGAAAACAACAGATTTGAATTAGTAATCGTTTTTCTTCAATTGTTACTTTTTCTTTTAAAGTCTGATTAATTATATTATTACAATGTTGAAAAATATTATATACACGATTTTACTACCGAATGAGAATACATCTGATGATTGCGCATCTCTAACCCGTTCTATAAAATAATTCTATTATCCCTAATGAATCATTAGTTAAGCATTGGACTAATGGAATTTCTACCTTCAATTATTATTTTTTAAGCTAAAATACAATTATGGGAAATCCAAAACCTACATTTTGTTTGGTTTGGTCAAAAGTATTTTAAAAATCTGTTAATTTTTGAAAACTGAAAACAACAAATTTGAATTAGTAATAGTTTTTTCTTCAGTTGTTGTTTAATAAGCTAAAATACAATTATGGGAAATCTTAAAACTACATTCTCCCTTTTTTATGATATTTATATTTTGATCGAAAAAATCAAAAATAGATAAAATTTCATTATTTTTTTTTATAATAAAATTATATATTTTAGATCTTTCATTCAAGAGATAACATGTATTTTGCCATTCATCTTTCAAATCACTCATTCAAGAGATATCTAATCTTGCACTTAAGTTTGAGAGTCTGTTTTTAGTTTCAGGCTATTTTTAGGACTTGCTCTAAAACTAGACAGTAGTGTTCTCCAGTTTTGATCTTCTTCTTGGTTTCCACTGTTGTTGGCTTGTTTGCTAATCTTTCTTGGAGAAATACAATCTCTCACTATATCAAACTAAGTTCCAGAGACAAAAATTGCAGTAAAGTGTTTAACATTTGGACTCAACTGCTATTGTTAGTCATCTTCTGAATCTTCTTCAACTTCACTTCCTTCCACAATCTCTTCTCCTTCAGAGCCTTCTTCCTCAAGGCCATCATCATCTATCTTATCAACCAATAGTTCCTCTTTAGAGACCATGCCTACCCCTCTAGCCCCATGAAGAAGCCCTGTTCTCATCACATGATAGAACTTATCTCTAAGACGAGTGAGAGGATGCGGATCCACTAGCTTCCCTCGACGATACCCTTCTTTTAAAATCACAGTAGTTGTCTTACACTTCAACGAGAGGTAGAAAACCCCGGGGTATCTCGTGAACAGACGAGTGAACTTATGCGGAATGTTAAGCTCAGCTCTCAAGCTTCTCAAGTAGTTCCTCTTGGTTTTCTTGTGTACAGTCAAGCTCAAGAGCTCGTGCAAAACTCCCACTGCTCGTTTCTCCATGAGATCACTCTCCGGGTCAATGTTACTTGCGTCATCGTAAGGAGATACGTAAGGAAGGCTTTGAAACTCATCCATCCACGCCTTGACCTTCTTCTGAGCTCCGTATCCTCTAGGAAAGCTCATAGGGAAAGTCAACGCGGCTTGTCCTCGTTTGAACTCACGGTAAAGACTATCCTCCACGGCAACAACACTCCTCTCGTTCTGCTTCTGAAGAGCAGAGAATGCAAATTCATCACGCCAAGTTACAAGCTTTAGACAAGGGTCTCCATTACAGGACTTAACAAAGCAGAAGTGGTCAGGATACTTCATGACTAACGTCTTCTCGTAGTTATCTGGTAAGCCAAGATCGAACTTGAGAGAGTGTAGTGATCTGAGGGAAACGGTTCTTGTTCTCATCATCATCAGAAGTCTACAGAGTCTCTCCACTGTATCACCCTCGTGGGTTTGATGAATAATCTCTTCTTGTGAGTTAAGCATAAGTGCTGTCTCCGTTAGCTTGAAACAGGGCAAGCTTGCGTAACGAGAATGCGGGAACTCATGAAACAGAGTCGGATACCTTCAAAACAGAGTCCAAAACATAGTCCAAAACAGAGTTCAAAACAGAGTCCAAAACAGAGTCCTAAACATAGCTTCTTCTATCAATCCCATCAAGATTCAATTTTTATCAACGAGAAAAGATGAAGGAGAAGGTGATTGATACCTGCGCAAGAAGCGGAGGACAGGGACGGTGAGTCCGAGGAGTTTCTGCCAGTCGGCGACGGATTTAGCGGTGAGGAAACAGGTGGGAGATCGTTTGATGGCGTCTTTGAGAATGCAAGCTGCTTTGAGATCGGTCTCTGTATCAATGATGTGATCGAGGTTCTTGTTTTTCACCCATTTCAATCTCACTTTTGTCATTGCACTCATTTCTCGCCATTGTTGTTGATGATGATGATGGAACAGTTTGCTCACTGAAAACAGAAAGCTTTGGGGTTTGGCGAACATCACACAAGGTGTTCGACGAAAATCCTGAATGAACCAAAAAAGGAGAGTTTTTTTACTTTTAACTTAAGTAAGCCCACGTGCTACAGTAAAGGTAGTAATGCCCATTAACGAAATGGATTCAGACAGAACCTAAAGAGTTCCCGACTTTTTTTTTTTTTTTTTTTTTTTTTTTTTTTTTTTTTTTTTTTTTTTTTTTTTTTTTTTT